GCTAGGACAAAATACCTACATATAACCTGAACAGTATAATCATGCTAGTGGCAACAACATTATATAAAGAAATAACGCAGAAATAATGGAAAGGGGACATATAGTTAGGGAAATACAATATAAAGAGTGAGAATAATGAAAAGACAGAATTAAACCGAAAATCCTTAAACGAATTGAGCAAATAAAACAGCAAAGGAAAACTGCACGGCATCACCCTTCGTGCTTTTACTCTCAACCTCACCAAATAAATAAATAGAACGGCACGGCATCACCCTTCGTGCATTAAACCTCTCATAATATACACTGCATCACCCTTCGTGCTTTACACTCTTCCTCACAATATAAATAATGCATGCACGACATCACCCTTCGTGCTTTCCACTCCTCTTCACAAATCACAAAATCAATAACAACGGATAGATAGGAGTATCACAAAGAAACTAATATTTTACCCATAATCAATAGCACAATGTAACCTCAACCTTGAATCAATATTTGAAAGTTACCAAATCTCAGTGAAACCAGATATAAGTCACCCAACATTTCAAATAACTCGCTAAGCATGGATAGTAGAATTTAAGGCTACAAAATAGATAAGAATAGAATTTCACTCGCATGCTATGATTCGACAACGATGCATAGATTCTCGTCACCTCACCTATACACCGTATTTAACAACCAAACACGTAGCAAATAAATACATAATACCTATTCCCTCAAGCCAAAGTTAGACACGACACTTACCTTGCTCTGAAGACCACTTAATTCTCAATCACAGCTTTTTCTTTAAAATTCACCTCCAAACCACTCGTATCTATTCAAAAATGACTCAATAACATCAAATATTGCTGAAGGAATCAATTATATTTTGTAAATTAAATTTCTCAAATTTTCCTCCAAAAAGTCAAAAAATCGACCCCGGGCCCGCTTGGTAAAATTCCGAGGTTCGGACCAAAATTCTTTTACCCATTCACCCTCGAGCCCGAATACGTAATTAGTTTTGGAATCCGACCTTAAATTGGGGTCTAAATCCTCAAATTTTCAAAATCCCTAATTTCTACCCTAACCCCTAACGAATTGGAGCTCGGGAAGAGGCAATTTTCGGGAGATTTATAATTTTAAAAAATGGGGTAAGTGTTCTTACCTAAATATTGGTCAAATTACCCAAATCCACGGTTATGTTTAACATTTAATCGGTGATTTAAGTTGGAAAATTATAAAAACTATTTCGATTTAATTTGAAGATTTGAGGGTCGAGTTGATGTCGAAATTTAGTAAAATTTGTATAGTTGAACTCGTGGTGGCGTTTATATTTTGTAACTTTTGTTGGGTTCCGAGACGTGGGACCCACAGGCGATTTTTGAGTCAAATTTTGAGGTTCTATTGAAAAAACTGTATTTTCATATGGAATTAATTCCTATAATTTATATTGACTGAATCGAACTAATTGTGACTAGATTCGAGCCAATCGGAGTCGAAAAATTGAGGGAAAGGCATTCTTATTGGCTGATTGAGCTTGGTTTGAGGTAAGTGACTTGTCTAACTTTGTGTGGGAGAAATCCCCTTAGGATTTGAAACTGTTGTAACATTTTATGATATGTGAGCGCCTTGCGTACACGGGTTAAATTTTGAAATATCGGTTCTTGCTGAGTAGTCTTCTTTTAAATTCTTTAACTGAGTTGCCTTAGCATATGTAGTGATCATATTTAGCCTAATATCACATGTCTCCGTGCCTTAACTCTTACGTGCAATATGTGCAATATGCTTAGGTGAATTGCCTGCTTTTCTTGATTTGATTTAAATCTTTAACTGTAAAATCTTTTGCTGAAATTTTTTTGTTCCTCCGACTACCTGCTGCATATTTACTTTTGGAACTACGAGGCGGTTCCTCGGGAGATCCCATGTACTGCATATTTACTTTTGGGACTACGAGACGGTTCCTAAGGAGATCCCCCTGTACTGGATATTTACTTTTGGGACTACGAGACGATTCCTCGGGAGATCCCCTGTACTGCATATTTACTTTTGGGACTACGAGGCGGTTCCTCGGGAGATCCCCCTGTACTGCAGATTTACTTTTGGGACTACGAGGCGGTACCTCGGGAGCGCCCTTGTTGTTTACCTCTAATTGTTGTGTTGTTATCTTTCTGTAAATTTCATTTATTTCTCAGTCACTTCATTACACTATTATAAATTTCTGTCTTATTTATTATTATTTCCAGTAGGGCCTGACTGACCTCATCACTACTCTACCGAGGTTAGGCTTGGCACTTACTAGGTACCACTGTGGTGTACTCATACTACGCTTCTGCACATCTTTTGTGCAAATCCAGATACTTCCTATCGGACGAGGTATCTGTAAACTAGTTGTACACGGAGACTTCAAGATATAACTGTCAGCGTACACAGACCTCAGAGTCCTCCTCTATTCTTATTATGTTGTCTTCCTGATTTCTTTTTAGACTATGATGTATTGAGACACTTAGAATAAATTCTTAGAAGCTTGTGACTTATTTCTACCGGGTTTTGGGAGTTGAAATTATTGAATTTGGCTTCAGTTTTATTTTATGTATTTCCGCAAAAATTGTTAGGCTTGCCTATTCCTAGAGACTAGGTGCCATCACGACATCCTACGGAGGGTGAATTTGGGGTCGTGACATGACTTGTAGTGGATTTTAATGTTATCGATGTCCGTTTGGGATTCCGAGCCTTGGAATAGGTTCGTATTGTGATTTATGACTTATGTACCCTAAGTTTATTATTTTTAACTTGAATAAAAATTTTACTCAAATGATAAATTTAAAAAATAACTGAATTAGATTCTCTTTCTAAATAATTAATTAAAAGTTTAATTATTTTGTTTTAACATAAAAATAATTTATTTTATGTTGGTTCGGATTTTAATATTAGTTCATTTTTTGTTTTTGAATATTTAATTTTAATTATAATTTTATCCACCATAAATTTTATTTTCAAAAAGTAAAAAATTGATATGACATTTCACTTTCAGATCATTATGTTTGTAGAATAATTAGTGGTATTGACTCTTACTAACAATTTTTTTCTCTTTATCATACATTTATATTCTTAAATATTTTATTAGTTGTTGTTTAATAATTGAGTATTTTTAAATATTATACAAAAAAATTGATAAAAAAATATTATTTGAGTAGAAAAATAGTTTAAATATAAAATAAAAATATATTAACGTGGGGGTATCTTTTTCTCAATTTTAACTCTTTATCTAATTATTTAATATTACTTTTATTTTTTATTGGCATAGGACATTATAGAGTGGTAATGTATTGCCAATACGGAGGATTCTTATAAAATTAATTTTATTAAATTTTTCTACATATTTTTAACAATAATTTAATAGACAAAATTGTAAATACTAAAAATTAGCACATAAGGTATTGTAGTAAAAAAAAAATAGGTTATTACAGTTATGTCCTTTCCCTATGAGTTCTTTAGCTTAACATTTTGGGGCTATTTTCGTATATTAATATTGTATTTATGCGTTTATAATAATATAGGCTCTCCTTTTTCTAAATAAATTTGGACAATATAATACATTCTCAAATTAAATTAGTAATAGGACATTATAATACGTTTTAAAATTAAATTAGTAATAAGAATTTTTAAGAAGTATATCATAAAAGTAATAGGATTACATGACTAAAGATATTACTTGTTTAATTTTATATGAATTAGATATCCCGAAAGTAATTATACTAATAGGATTCCTAAAGGTAATCATGTAGGATTCCTAACGTGTAGTATTATGTTCTAAAACTAATAGGATTATAAGGCTAATATCTAGAATTTCGGTTATGTCCTTTTATTATGAGTTATTATGCTTAATATTATGAGGTCATTTTTCTAAACCGACATTGTATTCATGCTTAGGGCTATTTTCATATATTAATATTATATTTATGCTTTTATAATAATATAGGCTCTTCTTTTTCTAAATGAATTTGGACAATATAATACATTCTCAAATTAAATTAGTAATATGACATTATAATACGTTTTTAAATTAAATTAGTAATAGAAATTTTTAAGAAGTATATCATAAAAGTAATAGGATTAAATGACTAAAGATATTTACTTGTTTAATTTTATTTGAATTAGACATCCCGAAAGTAATTATACTAATAGAATTCCTAAAGGTAATCATGTAGGATTCCTAACGTATAGTATTATGTCCTAAAACTAATAGGGTTATAAGGCTAATATCTAGAATACAGGTTATATCCTTTTATTATGAGTTATTATGCTTAATATTATGAGGTCATTTTTGTAAACCGACATTGTATTCATAATTTTATAATAATATAGATACATATAGAATATAGATAGAGTACTAGGATAAGTAACTTTACTATTCACTATGCTTGTTTATTTATTTCTTAAAAAGGTTATCCACACAAAAATATTTTTCTTTATAGTAGTTTTTATGTGATAATTATTTCCGTGGTCAAGTTGACCAAATATTTAATTTAATAATATCGCATAATTTTCATGAAACAAGTTCAAGTCAAAGAAAGTTTAATACTACTCTCTCTGTTCTAATTTATGTGAACATATTTGAGTGGACACGAAATTTAAGAAAAAATGAAGACTTTTGGAATTTGTGGTCCGAAACAAGTCAAAAAGGGGTCTATAATATTTGTGTGGTTATTAAAATTTCTCATTAAGGATAAAATTGGAAGTTTAAGTTAAATTGTTTCCAAATTTAAAAAGAGGTCATTCTTTTTGGAACGGATCAAAAAGGAAATAGGTTCAAAATGTGGGACGGAAGGAGTAACAAATTAGGACTCCTGGATAACTTGATTAATCATTTTATTATTACCAAACAATAATAAACAGGTACGCATCAAGATGAAGACAGACAGACAGATCTAAATGAAAAACAAAAAGGCAGTATTTATTTTAAAATGCATTTCACCCTTATTCCTTGGCACTATTTTCACACCGCGTTGAAATGGGGAATGTTAAGCCCAAAGACTGAAATTTCTTTGTGTTATTTGATCAATGGATTTAGCCATATCCTCCGTCAAAAGATTTTTCCAGTCGCCAACTTCTCCTGTTCGAAAAAATGCATTGTTACTAATTAATCCTGTCCCCCCAGTCTTATTCACCTCTAAGATGCTCAAACCTTGAAAACTATAGCGAGTCACTATTTTTTCAGCCACGCCTTGTATTTCTTCATCTTCAGAGAAAGGCTTCCCCATAAACTCTGCTAACTTCTTCACATAACCCAAAGTATCGCTCTTCAAATCTTCGTACGTCAAAAAGAACACTCTATTTGGTCTATCTACACTTGCTTTCCAGTATGTTGTAACGTGATCCCAAAAAGGTCCACAAAACGATTTTCCTTCACAAAACCACTTAAATATTTCTTCGACTGGATAATTAGGAGTCGTATCTCTAACTTCAGCCATGCTTTCTCTAGACCTTTGAGCAAAATGCCATAAAGAAACAAATGTGTCCTTTGGCTCCCTCCCTATATATGTAAATGATCTTGCAATCGGATTCTAATATAGATGGCGGTAAGAGATGTCACGCCTCATTTTTCCCGAGAGGGATAGAGAGTTTTTCCAATTAAAGTGACATTATTCGAAATGAGATTATTTAATTAATTTCAGAGTCGTCACTTGGGATAATTTATGGCGTTCAAAGTCACCGGTTTATTTTAAATCCCAAATCGAGGAAATTTGACTCTGTTTAAAGTCTGCGAAAACCAGAAGACCGGGTAAGGAATTCTGTTAACCCGGGAGAAGGTGTTAGGCACTTCCGGATTCCATGGTTTTAGCACGATCGCTTTAATCATACATGGCTTAATTAAATTGTTTAATTACGTGTTTTAGAACCTATGTGCGTTTTACCTTTTACCGCTTTTAAATTACTTGATTATGGCATTATGAAATTATCTTGAAAACGAACCACGTGTGTGTGAATCCGTTTGTTTGGTGTGCCAAAAATCATGTCACGCGTACGTGTACACAATTAATAACACTTTATTAAGATTGTTCGGCCAAAGTCGCGCGAACGCATACTTTGATTTATTTGGGAAAATCATAATCATATCACGCGAACGTGTACACAATTACGATAATAGATTAAATGTGTGCCTAAAAGCATTTCCACGGGTGTTCATGAATTAATTATTTTCCTAGGATTTGAGGGTGTTCATGAATTAATTATTTTCCTAGGATTTGAGATTAATGTGAGGCCATGAATCATGTATAAGAGTGTGGAAGAAGTGTACATTTCAACTAATGAGAGCTAGAAGAATTAATTAAATCTAAGTTGTTGGAAGTGTCTGATGATTGATAGACATTCACCTTTAAAAGGAAAATGGGTCATCCTATGAACAAATAATTGACGCTGAATCAATTATTGATGGAGTGTCAAACAGACTTGAATTTCGGCTCAGGTCCAGTTTTATAAAGTACCTCATAATCCCAATTATTTCCCTATTACTACGGTGGCCTAGACTTATTTGTGTGGCAATAATTGCAGAGAATTAATCAAACACTTTACCAAGTCAATTTATAACACCAAGTCAGCTAAGTTCATATCCCAAAACGTAATAAGCTACATTTGAAGAAAAAAGCACTAGTATAATGGTTCCAATTATACAAATAATTTCCTAATGAATTACTCATGCCCTTAAACTCTTGTGATTCAAATTTCAGTCTACTTTGTCTTAAAGTTTACTGCTCAAACAACTGTTTTTAGCATTCAAACGAATTCAAAATTGTGACTGAAAATCTGTACATATACGCCTCAAACAGATCTTTCACCAAGTGCTATATTCACTAAATCTCTGTTGGTCTCTATTACCAATGATAGAAAAATAAAACAACATGCTTAAACATTCATAATACAAATTTGAACCATTTTATCAAAAAAATATTCAGGAATTAAAGTTGAACTACACATATAAAGGGAACTTCAAATTTAAACTAAATGGATTTTCAACTAAATTACGACTATAATAAGAAATAAAATTACATAGTCCTGACTGATTGAGTTAACTACACTTGATGAAATGCTATAATAACTGTAACCTTCGATTTCATCCACAACGCTTGTCAATTTGACGAACAATAGCTTACAACATTTCAAAATGGCTTGATTTGGGTTTGAGACTCACAGATCTGGCCTATTGATGGCCAGACCCATAAGTTGAAGCCATGACATAACATTATCAGTCCTTCACAAATAGCTTGACATGTTGTCTTAACAAACCATTAGGAAGTCTATAGATTAGAATTCATGATCAACAAATTATGATGTGGAGATGCCAATAATAGAAACTAATAGTAATACATGTGCTTAAGGACATTCATAACAGCAGCAAACAGGTCAGAGGTGAGCGAATGCCAATTCAAGCCATTCAAATACTTAGAACATTGCATAAGAAGATATATAACATCATGTAAGCACAACGACCATCTGAATTTCACAGATTTCAAGCTCAAATTGATTGTGCTAAGCTCAGAATCATACAAAGTTATCAATGTGTACCTTAAAGCAGCAAAAGTAAGTAGAAGAGAAAATAAGTCTCTGAAATTCTGAGAAGAAACAGCAGCAAGAACACAAAGCAGAAAAACCAAAACCACAGCAGCCTCAAACTCAGACCATGAATCCCAGCAAAAGAACATTGGGAAATGAAAAGAAACACAGCCTGGATTTTTTTTCTTTTGTTTTCTAGCTTTAAACTTAAAAAGAAGATCAGATTGAAAAATGAGGAGAAAGAGTCTTGGAATATTTTTTTCAGGGCTCTCTTGCGCGTCCGAAAATTCCTGTTTTAGAATGCAGAATGAGTCCTATTATATAGGCTGTGTGTGTGTAATCAGAGAGAATGAGAGAGAGTCCCCAAAAAAAATAGAATTTGTCAGGCCCTCACTAAAATTTAGGAAAATAGCATCTTTCAAAACTGAATTTGGACAATTGTCCTTGTTTCTAGATGGTTCTTTTTATTTCTTACCATTTAACTTCTGAAAATTATTTCTTGTGACCCCAACTTGAAATGAACTCTGATTTTTAAAAAAAAATGCATTTTAGTCCCTTCTAGAGACTTCCCCAACAAACAAATCAGATTCCCTAATTTTCCAAATCCCTTTGACCCCTTTAACTCCTATTAATTACACATGAGTCATAGCAGAAAGAAATCATGTAAATCAGTCCCAATAAACAAAGAAGCAAAATTAATCTAATTAACTCAATAATTAAGACTAATTAGCATGCAATTGAGCTGTTAAAATCACATAAACCCTTAAAACAAAACAGACATGTTGCGCCTTAAAACAAATAGCCAAAATGTTAATTTACTGTTAATTAACTAATTACTAAGCTAAACTAATTAAACTGAGATAAACGTTCATCAAACAAGTTCTGATTAAACACCTAAAACACATTGTTCTTCTCTCTTTTTTTTTAATCTTTCTTAAAGCAAACAAAATAACAAAACAAGATAAAGAGGGCAAGGATGTACCTAGTAAAGAAAAACAAAACTACCCATCTTGAAGCGAAACAAGAGGCTCGACCGGATTCCGATGATTCCGTAATAAACTAAAGCTTACATTAATTAATTGTTCTTGACAAGAACAAATAATTAATGTTAGTTTCAACTCAAAACAGCTTGAACTTGATGAAGGAATCGGAAAGAACTAAATTAGGTTTTCTGGCCGATTTTAGATCTAAAATTCGAGGATTTTGAGTGGTGTTTTAGGAAAATTGAAGGTAGATTTGGATTGAGGATGAAGTGAGGAGTGTGGGGTGTGAATTTGGGCGGATTTGGAGGTCGTTTGGTGGTGCCAAGATGGCGACCGCTGGTGGAGGTTTGTGGGAGTTTGGGGGCGGCTAGGGTTAGGCTGAGGGAGAGAGATGGAGAAGTGAGAGGGATCTGAGGGGTTTGGAAGAGGGGGGG